AGCAGACCGAGGATACATATATCATCGTTCGTAAAGCATTTAAAGAGCTCGGAATGGAGAATGCCAGAGCAGAAACTATCCCGCTAATCAACGCCCACCGATTGCCCCGCCGTCTACCACAGGGTCAGAACACCCAGCCCCGATCACCGACCCCCATCATTGCCCGATTTGCCGTCATGGCCGACCGCGATCACGTCCTATCACTCTTCCAGCGCCAACTACGCAGCCGCACCCTAGGAGCCGGACCAGGAGGTAACCAGCCAACGCCCACCCCACCTGCCCAAGCGAGCCGTATCACTGTCAGGACGGACCTACCGCCTGTCCTGAAACAACGACGCGGCATCTTAGCTAACGAGGCCTACAAGCTCCGAAAGGAACGAGGTCTATCCACCAGGATAATTGTTCAAGGCACCTCTGTGATCTTACAATGGAAAAACAAAGGCACCAACACATGGAATAATCACCAGGAATGATACCTATCAAAACAACAAAAGATGTAAGCATGAACTACGTATTTATTCTACGATAAAATACGTTTTTTTGTTTTCTTTTTGTTCTTCTTTGCTTGCTGTATTATATTTCTCTCTGTTCAACATTACAGACTCTAATTTACGCCGAAAGAGAAAAAAGAAGGATGAAGAAGTACTATGTGAGAAACAATGACTTTACATACAAAGAATGAACAATGATCAAATTATACATTTGATTGAACATTTATTTTAGACTCTTGTATGTTCGCCCATTAAAACCTCTACATAACATTTTAAGGAAATATGTGATGGACATGGTTAAACCGAAATAGAACTCTGTATGGACACACCGACTTTCAACTTCGGTTATTTATGTCTCGCCCTTGCATATGATATGAATTATACGCTTTAAAAATCAAACGTATATACATAATGCATGTTAAAGTATTTATGTACTTACGCATATAATTAAGTACATGTATATTTTGTTTTTCTTGACGCAAAAATGTCAAGATATTTTTGTATTTTTTTCATATTATATATATATATAGATTTTTTTTTTCTTCCTCTTTGTATTTATAATTGTTTGTTGTCACTTCCGCAATATTTTCAATCATGGAATTTAAAAAAAAAAAAAATTGTGACCACTTTACAGACTTGAAAGACTAGTAGAAATTGAAAATGTTGTACTGTGGCACATTTACTTGTTTTATTTCATGGATATTTTGTACCATGATGTTTTTGTATTTTTGTCATATTATATATATATATAGATTTTTTTTTTCTTCCTCTTTGTATTTATAATCGTTTGTTGTCACTTCCGCAATATTTTCAATCATGGAATTTTTGTTTGTTTGTAATTATGTGACCACTATACAGACTCGAAAGACTAGTTGAAACCAAAAATGTTGCACTGTGATACATTTACGTGTTTTATTTCATGGATTTGTACTAGCCATGATGTTATGCATGTATTTTCCTCATGTTATCGACACTGAAATGAATTCTGCCAGTTGCAATTTTTTTTCAGTATTGGTATTATGATAACTTAAAAATACTATCCTTTCAAATACTATAGAAATTTTTCCTATCGCAGAGTGATTTTTTTTTTTTTTTTTTTTTTTTTTTTTTTTTCTTCTTTATAAAATTTTGTTTGAAATAAATATTTTGCTATGCTAATTAACGACATTCTCTTCGGGGACCTGCCCGCGGCTTGGTATGCATGGCTGGAGCTCGTGCTCTATACGATTTGTAAAGCGTATCGGTTCCTTTTGTCGTGCTTCCCGGGTCGTGTGTGCGTTTTCGGGGTGAGTGCCTTTACCCACAACAGAAAACATGCTTTCTAAATGTTAACACTGTAGAATTTCCGTTGTTTTTTTAAATCTATTCCCTACGTCTGTTATGTTATGTAATATAAACACATTTTATTGGAAGGATTGATCTTAAACAACTTTATCTTGATTGTTAACAATTCCCTTTTTACAGATTAAGACTCTAGATTGCGATCTGTTCCTCTTTCTTTATATTGTCTTTGTTATTATTTGTTTAAGAACTGCCCACATGTATTGAGGTTAACTGCGTGGTAATTCGCAGGTGTAACATTCTTATTGTTAAATAAAGTCGAATAAAAATACATTGTTAACTGTGTCGATACGATTCACTGTAATATAAATTCCTTGCTGTTTACCATCAATACTGTTGTAGCATATGAATGGCAGACCCTGATCTATTTCTTTGGAGCCTCGTAACCTATACACTCTTGCGCATTTAAATGATCTATTCTAACCTGCATTCCTCTTACCTGTCCCTGTATATACCCACACATATTTGCCTTTAATACTGTACGTTCTCTCATGTTTAATTATTTCCCCCCCCCCTTTTCTTTCTTTTTTTTTCTTTTTTTTCCTTTTTTTTTCCTGAACTGGCGGTGGTCAGTACTAAACCGGAACCGCCACCAATGGCTGCAATTCGCTGTTCCGTTCATTCACTCACCATTCTTTGTATTATTTTAGCACTTGCACAAGTCATTGCACATGCACCCACAGTGAAACGACTGTTTATATTGAGACTAGTACGAAGTGAAACATTTTACATACTTAACGTTACATATCAAACAGACTTTATTATTCTACATCATATTCAAATCATTACATGGGCCCATTTCTTAATTATTTTATTTGATAATTGTAGGCCTATATTGAATTTAGTCATATGAATTTTGATTTAGAAATTAACCAAGATGTAACAGAAAATGAGTCAACATATTTTACTACTGACGATTTCAACGCTGCTTTTAATTTAAATAATGATGGCCATAATCAACAGTCCCTTAGTTTGTTGCATATTAATGCTAGAAGCATGAATAAAAACTTCGATTCTATGGATTTATTTTTTTCTTCTATACAACATTTTCCGTTTTCCATAATAGGGATAACGGAAACATGGTTGAATAATAAATCACCTCCTTTATTTAATATTGAAAATTATAAACTAATTAGAGCTGATCGTAATTATGGACGAGGGGGTGGAGTAGCCTTGTACATTCATGATTCCTTAACATTTAAAGAGAGACCTGACTTAAGTGTAGATGGCTCCGAATATATTTTTATTGAAATTATAAATAAACAAGCTAAAAATATACTTGTTGGAGTAATGTATAGACCTCCTCATAGTAATATTGATACGTTTGTAGATAGATTAGAAGAAAGTCTTTCTTTAATATCGCGTGAAAATAAAATCATATATCTTATGGGGGATTATAATATTAATCTTCTACCACCTGCATTGAATAATATTGGACTTAGGTTACTAACTACACTCTCTTCTTATTCCCTCCATCCACATATTAACAAAGCTACCCGAATAACTAGTATAACTGAAACTTTAATAGACAATATATTTTCGAATATTTTTAATGAAAACAGTCAGAATGGAATATTGTATTCTGATATTTCTGATCACCTCCCCATATTTGTTATTTCCCCTACAATTCAGTTATTTAAACATGAGTCCATGACGTATATATACGTTCGGAAAGAAACGGATGCTAATATTCAGAGCTTTCGGGCGGACTTAGCATCAGAATCTTGGGTTGATGTATTTAATTTAGTAGTTGCAAATGATGCTTACGATATATTTTTGAATAAATTAATGTATTATTACAACAAAAATATACCTTTGGTTCGAATTAAGTTAAATAAAAAAAAGGCTAAGAAACCATGGACAACGAGGGGCATTTTACGATCGATTGCGACTCGCAATCGATTATATAAGAAAGCGTTAAGAAGTAAAGATCATATTGATTTAGATAAATATAAAAAATATAGAAATAAGTTAACATCTATTATTCGGCTATCCCGCAAATTATATTACTCAAATAAAATTGCGAGTACTCAAAACAATAATTCTCTTTGGAATATTATCAAAGATCTTACGGGTAAGAAAAAACATATTAATACAACCATTAATGTTAATGGACAAGACATTAATAATTTGAATGAATGTGCTAATTATTTTAATGAGTACTTTGTTAATGTAGGTCCCACATTAGCCTCTAAGATAGATGCTGGCAACAATCATTTTTCTCAATATCTTTTAGAACCCTCTGAAAATTCATTATTCTTTACTCCCACAACAATTCATGAGGTAGTTAGTATAGTTCAATCACTGAAATCAAGCAAGTCATCAGGACCAGATGGGTTAAGTATGAATCTCATTAAGCAAATAATACACTTTATTGTTTCTCCATTGGTTCATATATGTAACATTTCTCTTTCTACTGGTTCCTGTCCTAACTTATTAAAAATTGCTAAGGTTATACCGATTCATAAAAAAGATGACCCATCTAAACTTCAAAATTATCGTCCCATATCATTATTATCAAGTATTTCAAAGGTTTTTGAGAAATTGGTATATAAAAGATTGATTTCTTTTTTGAATAAGCACGATATTTTGATTCCTAACCAGTTTGGATTTAGGAAAAATCATTCAACTGATTTTGCTTTAATTAAACTTTGTGATAAAATAATTGAATCTCTCGCAAATAAGAAGCATGTTATAGGTGTTTTTATGGATCTGAGTAAGGCCTTTGATACCATTGATCATACAATCTTACTTCATAAACTAGAACACTATGGTATCAGAGGCCTTGCTCTATCCTGGTTTGAGGACTATCTTAAAAATAGAACACAGTATGTTTATTATCATTCTAATAGTTCCTCAAAATTGAACCTCACATGTGGAGTTCCTCAAGGCTCCATCTTAGGCCCGCTCTTATTTTTGATTTATGTAAATGATATAATAAAATCATCAAATATTCTAACTTACATTCTTTTTGCCGACGATACAAATATACTTTACTCACACAAAAATATTGATACACTCGTTGATACTGTAAATCATGATTTGTGTAATATTTCAATATGGTTTAAATGTAATAAATTATCCTTAAATATAAGTAAAACTAATTTTATCCGTTTTAGAACTATTAACTCCCAAGACCAACCACAATGTAATTTGTTTATAGATGGTTTATCCCTGGTAGAAAAACAATCAACGAAATTTTTAGGAGTTATTATTGACTCAAATTTGTCTTGGAACGAACACATTCATAACATAAATATTTTGATATCCCGGAATATTGGTATTTTGTATAAAATGAAATGTTTGATAAATGATAGATCTTTGTTTATGCTTTATAATACTTTAATTTTACCATATATAACATATTGTAATATTATATGGGCAAACTGTAGTAAAACTAAAATAAACTCAATATTTCTTTTGCAGAAGAGAGCAATTCGTATTTGTACACACTCTAACTATCTTGCAAATTCGAACCCGTTATTTAGTCAATTAAAAACATTAAAGGTTTATGATATACATACGCTCCAAACTGCCATTTTTATGTATAAGTACACTTCCAAAACTCTTCCAGCATCTTTCTTAAACTTTTATTTATTAAATGTAAACGTACACTCATATTTAACTCGACATGCTCATGATTACCATCTTAATAATCCCAAACTTAGTTTAGCCCTACGATCAATTAGACACCATGGACCAGATATTTGGAATAACTTACCGAACCATATTAAAACTAGGACCTCCCTTTATTCTTTTAAAGCTTATATGAAAGCATATTTGTTAACTCAGTATAGTTTACTAGATCTTATAACATAGAAATTTAAAAACTATCTAATTTGTTATGTCTTGAATTGTTCTGTCTTTGTCAACAGAAATGGACCCTGCATACATTTTAATATTATCACCCGTAACTGAAACCAACACACAATTAAATATCACGGTATTAGTCTCTTTTTGTTCCACCAAGCTAAATTTTTTGCACCTTGCACAAATGCACTTCTCAACACGAAATATTTCACTAAATTTGTTTTGTTATTTTCACTCAAAATTAAATCAGCCATGCTCACTTTTAATCACTTCACTTATATCTTATTTAACATTGAATACAATGCAGTTGCATGGGTTGTTCTTTTATTTTGTTAACTCGGCAGAGGCCACGGTCATGTTCAAGCATTTACGCTTACGACATGTGGTCTCCTGCTTTTTCCTTTTGTAACAGTATGAAACTTTTATTTAAACTAGAAACAAACTTTGTCAAACTTACATGTTATTCATTATATTCATTTGTATGTTTCTTTGTATTGATATGAAAAAGTGGAAATAAAACAAACAAACAAATATATATATATATATATGGTTGTAAAAAAACAATTTGAACAAACCAAGTTTTCAACATGATATTTTCAATGTCAGTATTAGCAAGGCATACACATTTCTAATCAATATTATGGTGAATGTTAGCAACATCTTCTTATGAATTTCCTTCGAAAATATATTTGATTTCATAAATATTGTCACAACTTTCATCTTTTAGAACGAGGTTGAATAAATTAAAGGGATCCAATTTATGTCATTGTTGACATTGTCAATATACATGCTGAATTACAATTTTAGAGGTATAAACAGTATTGTCTGCATAATGTACAAATCAGTTTCCGTGCCTGCGTATACAAATGTAAAGTTAAAATGAGCATACATATTTATATACGATTGCTCATGACCAATTACATGTATTCGTAATTTAAATCAGCAAATTATTCCACCATGTTCGTCAGCGTAGAAAATGAATCATCAATTGAACAATGTAAACGATGGCAACAAAGAGTATACGTAGAGGAGTTCCTTTCGATATGAATATATGAATATGAATACATTTTTAATATGAGTGTAAACACTAGATGCAAAAGTTAAATCTAAATATTCCTAAAGCTCTTTTGAGCCACCTAACAGATCTCGTATAACTGATTTTTAGATTAAACTTCATCTCCATTTTTAACCCAATGGAGGACAAAAAGGGAAACATTTAACTTCTGCAATTTCCCTTTATATAAAACGAAGTTGCAATTAAACATATACATTTATTTAGATATATTTGCATATATACACATATGTATTAGTTGATGCAGATATATTCCATGAATGCTAATCACAATAACTCTGAATACACAAATATGTTTACATTTACAAAGAAGTACGTACATAACATAAGAGAAGTTATTCAAATAAATTCTTGTAAACGTATTGAAATAGCAAAAGTAATTGGAGAAGGGGTAATCAGAAATTATGAATACATATATATATATATATATTTACATATTTGTAGAAACCGTGGACTACCTCCACTAACAAATTAAAAAACAAATTACTAATTGCGTATGACAGTAATGTTTGCTAAAAGGGAATCGTTTCCAACATTGAGAAAGAAGAGGAGAAGAAAAATAGAGAAGGAAAAATAACAAATACATATTATATCTATAAACAAAAAACGGGATTGTTTATCGAGAATAATCTTTATTTGGTGCTAAATAAAAACAATAACGAATGTATGTTTTTTTTTACACTAGGTGGGAGACGATTCCATAAAATATGACCACTAAATGGGATTGTGCGACTTTTTAAAGTTAAGAAGTCGTAACTAGAGATAAATGGAAATTCATTTCATTTCCTGTAGCATACATTGGGTTGATGGAGGATTTAACTACATTTGTTGAACAAGTAATGAATGAAATATCAAGTTAAATAATCTCTTAGTACACAGTTCACATTTTACATTATTCGTTTGTATATTGTAAGACATTGTTGAGTACTGATTCTGGTCTTCTTTTGTTTTCGATTGTAAAAATAAATTAATTATTTTTTGTTTTGTTACGTTTTCTAAACTGATTTGTACCAAAATACTTTGTTAAGCTGTTAAAAGGGTTAAGCTCGACTAGCACATGTGCTGTTATCTGGCACCTTTTACCAACTTACAGTTTCTCTCCTTGTATCATGTAAATTATTGTATGGAATGTATTGCTGTTGGTAAATAAATCAAATCAAATCAAAATATCATCAAGAATATTCTGCAAGCTTCTATTTGAATCTTAAACTGAGCGAGCTGCATAATATTAGGTTTGAAAAATCCAGCTCATTAATATACATATTTTATATATTCATATATATATATATATATATATACATATGACCCTACATGTTGTATTAACAGGACATCTATATACAACCGTAAATGGTACATTAAAGATAAAGGTGAGTTCTGGTAATGCGATTTCATTGTGAAAGAAAAGGTGTGGAATGGATCAGACAAGTTAATCATATAGCATGTAAGTATCGGTGTGTACTGCAAGGTTTTGGTGTCATCAAAATCATCATGAATGTGTCCCAGTCTTGGTAAAGTAACAATCAATGTACACAGAAAGATGTATACGGGACAACACAAATGGTGTCGGGGCAAGTACTAACTTGATTTCTTTATCTTTCTATGCTCATTACTCAGCCAGTATACATTTTCTTCCAAAATTGTTTGGCACATGACATTTATTTGTAATCTTGAACATTCAGTGTAAGTTTCGTTAGATTCTGTGAGAATTCATTTTTTTTTTTTTTTACCAGAACTCAAGTTTATTTTTAACATGCCATTATACAATTATTACCCTTTAAACCCTAACCCTAAATTAAAAGAATATAACTAATTAAACTAATGACTAGAGATTGTTTTGTTGTTGAGGCTTTTAAGTTTCCTCTGCCTGCAAACGTAACTAGTGGGCAGTAATTATATAGTTTAATCGTTAACAGAACAAAAATGTCCTGCAAATGACCATATCTACTTAATTAATCATGTTGGCACTACATAATAATGTCCGTCTATCGACGCTTGAAGATATATATACAAATACATATATGTTTATGTATGGAGAGAGACAAAGAGAGAGAGAGAGGGGGGTGCGTTAACTTTTTATTAAAGCACAAAATGCTGTCTTTTAACCCTTTGCTTACGGGAACATGGTGGTCCCTGTGTTAAGCCTATAGGACCTATACAATTATGTAGTCAACGAGTAAAGTTATGAACTTACGTAATCTTACAGTAGCTACTATCCTTTTCAACTTTGCATTACTTTGTTTGCTATTCACATCGCCTAACGTCATGCATCTAATCATTCTTCGGCACATCTGGTTTAATTTCGTGTACGTAGACGGGAAATATTTCAGTAATCAAACCTGCAACTTCTGAATCTTCTAACACCTTTATAAGCTTGTCCCTGTGATTACATGTCGTTCGCTGATTCCAATCATTGAGAACTTCCAGAAGTGCTTTCTGATAATCTTTACCATGCTTTGCTAGTATGTTATCTGAAGAAGTCAGATTGCATCCCAACCTGACGCTCAACTCGGTGTATTTACCATGAGTGATTTTCTTTGAGACATCGATGAGTTGATCGTCCCTTACTTTCTGCGCGGATCTGCAAAAAATATCAAGTCATGTTTTTTATAAGTGTGTTCCTTTTTTATGTTGATATACTTTCGTTGTATTTGTACTATTGTATATGTAAACCTGTTTTGTTCTGGACATGAATAATTATGTCTTTTTATTTCCCGCTTTGTACTATTATATGTATTCAAGCAGGAGCCTTGGCTTGAATGTGCCGTGTTACATGATTTTGATTGTTCGTAAAACAAGGTGTATAGGTACGTGTGAACTCCACGTACACGTCAAGTACGGCTAACGTATCAGTAAATAAGTCTATATAAATATTAAGATGACAATACATTAGGGACTTTTAGATTTGCACGTTGACAGCTTTGACTGCAACATGTGACGTCATTTTAAGGCACTGCGCATGCGTTACGACGTCTCAGTCGGTGATCGAGAATGCGTCAACCTTGATTTTCCTAAATCTAGTACATACATACATACATACATGATGATGTTTATTAGCGCCTTTACATGCTCAAGGTACTAGTATGCCGCGTGCGCATAAAATATACAGTTCCTCAGGTAGACAAAGGAACATCCCTTCCCTGCTATTATGTAAAAATGTGTAGAACAGGTGTCACATGCATATTCACCTGTTCTACACATTTTTACATAATAGCAGTGAAGGGATATTCTTGTGTTGATGGTAGAATGAGGAACTGTATATTTTGTTCTCTTTCTTTGTCCGTGATGTTCTGATGTTCATAATGTTACTTCCTGCATGCATGTTTATCGTCGAGTGCAATCTAAAAGATTTCTAATTGTAGTCAACATGGACAGTTAAGTACGTTGACACGCATGATCAGTCGACGTTCGTCGTGTTCTCGTCCACTCATTCTAAAAGTCCCTATTATTTCTCGCTTGACACTCTCCACGCAGGCGTGATATGGGTACCCGGCGTATTGCGAACGTTATTGTTGTTGGATTAACGTGTAATAATACGTGTGCTTGTAAAGGCGCCTGGCCAGAATACAATGTAAAATAATGAATAGAAAATGGTATTACACGCAATACAGATTGAGTTATGATTATAAGTGATATTAAAATAACTTATACATTACAATAAAGTGATTGAGCTAACGCAGTTATGTGTTATTCATTGCGAATGGGACTTTTCACATGTATTTTATTTCTCCTACTACAAGTTAAAAAAAAACATGAGACTCTGGATCTATCTAAATACAAATTGATAAACACATATCTCAGACTTTGAATAAATGTTCCAGGAATTTTGATCAACTTCATCATGTGCGTTCTAAAGAGGTGCAAATTAAGAGCGCCGCAGATTAAATATCCATTCCCTGCATTTACACACCTTTCAACATAATTTTCCAGGGCTTCTGTCCCATGTGCCTTCTCAAGTGCTAAATGACAAATTGATAAGAGAACACACAGAAAAATGAGACCACTTAAATGATATCTATACATCTGTATACACACACAAGTTTACCACCAATACAAAAGACGACTACTGTACTTGCAATAATACCGGATAAATTTGACTGATGCCAGTAGATTGGCCTTTTTCGTTTATGTTTTTGTATTCTCTTTGAAAGAACAATGAAACCGAGTTCACAAAAGATTTGTTTTTTTCTTCCTAGACGCATTATTGTGAAACAATGTTGAGGACGTCCCCTGGCATTGATCTTTGAAGAAAAAATCGTATCATTGTGAAGTTTTCAGAAATTGAATTTTCTTTTAGCTTTGAGAAAGCTGTAATAAACGTCGGATTGAACAGAGACATAACATTCCACACACACATTTCTTATTTTCAATTGATCAATAAGTCTTGTTCAATGAAGTTCTGAGAAGATACATACTTTATTTATCAACAATAAGTCATGTCACAATCGTTTTAAGAAAAGAAAATATGATAAATGCATTCTTAACTTCATGGGCAAGAGTGTACTTTTAACAAAACATTTAGTTAACATGACTTTAGTATAATGAAGGAGAAACCAATTTTGCTTACGAAAATATTTCAAGAATGATTTAATTAATATGATGCACTCATATTGATGGTTTTGTTTGATAACATTTTCATAATTGTCTATCAATTTGCATTTTCGCCTAGTGTTACATGCATGAAAGAAGGGGAGACGAAATGTACTTACGATTGTTGCACAAAATTCTTGTTTCTTTTCCTTGGAACACTCTCATGGTGAGTTGTTCATAGTGTTCGGTCTTTAGCTCTGCGAAGTCTATGTAGGTCTGGTTGCTGGATCGAATGTCTTCGATTTTGATTGACTTTTACATCATTAAAAGAAACAAATTATACTTCCGTAAAAATGGTTATTTGTGAGATAATCGTATGAACGAATATCAAATATAAGAGATATCTATATGAACATAAATAGTTCAATAAACTACTCAATAATGATGGTAAAGAAATTACTTTTCAGTTATTTCTTCAATAATCTCCAATTTAAGCACCAATTCTAACATTTATTTCAGTAAGATGGCAAGGCTGTAAACGATATACATTTTGTTCTAATATTACACCATTTAGCACATTTGTAGAGTAATCTTTACCAATCAATAGTAGATATGTAAGTCCTTAACAAACGGTATAATTGGTTGAGTTTTCTTGGAAATTGGTTCTTGGTCTTAGACGAATCAGGGCCGTCATAAAGAAGGACTGGAATCAAGCCGCTCTCTTTTGACCCCATGCTCCAAGCCGCCGAAAAGTTATGCGCTAATCTGCAACTGCTGACCAGGTGGTGACATAAAAGAGCGCACGAATTTCAGGATTAAGAATTCCTACATCAGAAAATGGTACCACAGCAACTGTTCGCTGTCCCTTTCAATGATTTGTCATCCATTGTTGAATGTGTAAAGAGTAGAACAAGCGAACACAAACTTGTTTAATTTCATCCTTTTTTTAACTTCAAAAATACAAAAAACACGCAAAAACACGCATTAGCAAACTTAATGTTATTGAAGATTGTAAATCATGGATCAAATAACGGGACATTAAAACATGCATAAATTAGCGCATTATCCTAAACTATTGAGTTTTTGACAGGATGTAATTTTTCTTTTACCAACTCTGACACACAAATTATAGGAAGGACGGAGTTCTAAATTTGGAAATGTGTTTGATCATTTGATGCACTATTCCCAATACAATCCCCATGTAAAGTTTTTGATTTGCACTGAAATTTTGCCGGTCATTTAATATTTTGTAATAAATATAAAACTGATGCCTGGCTTCCGAAAGTCCCAGCAGTGGAAGCGCGGTTCGGAGCATGGAACTTCAAAGCCAAGTGGAATGTAACACATCCCATTGTTACGCTTTAGAACTCACGAATGCGTTGAATAAATTACAAGAGTTTCGCCGGCTTGATTCCAGTCCTTCTCTATCAATTCCCTGGACAAATTAAAAAGCGACCCTACATTCAGAGCATGCGATGTTGCCTGGCACGACAAGCCATTTTTGAGTATTAAATCGATCGGGAGTATTATAATTCAGCAGTAAAAGCTATAATTTATCTTTATTTCGTGATGAATCCAACGTTTTCTTCCATACATGATGAAACTAATCCTAGTGCGTTTTATCATTTCAAGAGCCTTGAAGGGCCTAAAAGAAAGACACACACACATTTTTTTTTTCTCGTGAGTCCATCCCCGTTAAGGTTCGTGAAGATTTAACCTGGTAAATGGCCGAATTAATTTTCTTCCCGTTATTTGCTTACCTCTTCTAGGAGATACAGAAGTGTAAAACACTTCACAATATTTTATCGTACACATAAATGTTAGAACAAAGATGTATAAGGAGGGTTCCTACCACAGCTTCCTCTTCACGCTTATTGTTCATCACCCAAACATGCACATCCCCATTGGTCCATTTAACAAAGAAGGGCTGTTCATCTCCAATCTTGTCTGCATCTCGTAACCTTACAGAATTTGTTACATCCTAGAAGAAAACAAAAACGATATTTTCTAAATAAATAGCAACCGAGAAACCGTATTTATGTAAAATGTAATTACATCAATAGTAAGCATAGTATTAAGTTATCAAAAGTGGGAGAGGTTTCATAAGTAGTTTTATATAATTAATATTACCGAATTCAGAGCTGGCTCAGGTAGTTCTCTTAGAAATATGCCATAATGGTGAAAGGAGCTGGTTAGGCAAACATGGAGGAAATCAGGATTTTAAAAAAATAAGATAGTTACGATTAATATTTAAAATTCCAATCAATCAAAAACTAATTTGCAACACTGTGATGTACTTTGCGAGCTGCTCTCCAAATTTCGTTGTGCATACAATTTCATAAACTTAAAACACATAAATCGTTATTGATGACGGAAATATAATTTTCCATACAGTGTTTTTGCAACCATTTCAAAAAAGTTTAAAACTGATGTCGATTCATTAATTCAACATCCTCAGAGTGGTACAATTATTAAATAGTTATATAAAAAGGAGGCATCTGAATTGCGCATAGTTGTATATCTATAAATCCCAAAATAGTTTGTTGAACTCTATTAACATAGTATTTTTCATGGGAAACATGATTAACACTTATCAACACCTAAAACACTCAGAAATATCATTATTATTATCATTATTATCATTATTATTATTATTATTATTACTATTATTACTATTATTATTATTAATATTATAATTAATATTATTATTATTATTATTATTATTATTATTATTATTATTATTATCATCATCATCGAATCCACCATGACCCTCATCACCATCATAATAGTCATCATCATCTGCGCCATTATTATTATCTCCATCACCACAATCACCTCCACCATCCTCATCATCACCCCTATTATCACCATCACAACCATTATCATCATCGTTATTCCAATAATTATCACTCAAAGACTAAAGGCAATATTCTCTGAAGGTCAAGCTTTCCGTCGTTTCGTATAACACGCAAATAATGAGTAAAAGTACATAACAATCCGTATTACTTTTTCTACACCCGCAACATCAATCGCCAAATATAACCGCAGCTTAGCAGAACGATCAGGTGCTGTCTTTGAGTAAGGGATGCATAACATTTGTTTTCCTGTCCACCATCTGAAGAGAGCAAACCAGGAGCAAAATTCGTCAATGTGTAACTCGAGCTCCTTCTCCCTAACAATGCAGGCAGGAATCTCGGCCAAGTTCCCCGAAGCTACCTCATGTGTCGTAAGTTCTCCTCCTTAAAAAATGGAAAACGAAAGATAATAATAAACGAAACTAATAATAATAATAATAATAATTATAATAATAATAATAATAATAATCATAATAATAATACTAGTACTAATAATAATTATAATAATAATAATAATAGTCGGTTCTTGTATAGCGGTCATGTCTGTCAGACTTGATACTCTTGGTGCTTTACATTAACCAAGCTTTAGCATTATGATAATAATATTGATAATAATAATACAAATATTAATGGTAACAACATTGATACTAATGATAATCGTATTAATAATAAGTATAATAAAATATAAATCATTATTGCAATATAAATTCAATTATAACAATAACGAAAACAATACTAATACTGGAAGTACTGGAATCAATCAAAGAACGACACTAATAGGGATAATCAAATATATAAGTACTAATTGAATAAATACAGATGCATATATGAAAACAAACATACATTATACATCTTTAATTAGTCAATTAATAAATGCAACACTCTGTCCTTAGTTCTTCTTTTTTGTATTTTGCTTTTGTCCTTGTTGTATTTTATTTATTACAGCAAAACGGTTTTTCAAGCTGCATATAAACTTTTTTAAAGGAAAAACCATAAGGACTCAACAAAAAAAAAAGTATGGACACACCATTACCTATCTTTTAAGAACCTTCGGGGAAATTGTGTATTGATGGGGATATCAGGAAATATTGAAGGGAAGTAGAGTTTTAGTAAAGTTTAACAAAATAATTTCTATTTTGTTCCGATTCCTATCTCGTTGGAGGTGAGTTTCGTAAGAATATCAGAGAAGATATGTCACCGGAAGATATTTATCACATGCCCACACATTCAAAAGTAATAACCAGATAATATGTAAAAGTTTGGATCAAAAGTGCACATCACATGTCTGTCCTATTTTATTAGGCGGTGTCACAAACTGAAGAGGCCAAAAATCCGGATTTTAGTTGTCCGGATTTTAGTTATCCTCTTGAATGGCTGTCTGTCATCAATTATCCCTTCAAAAATCCCTTCAAAAATCCTCTTACACAGCAAGATAATTCTCCCTTGAAAGGATTTTTGAAGGGATTTTTTTTGTCTGGCACCAATGTTGAAATAATCCCTTTAAATAAGCATTGTGACGTTTAAATGCGCGCATTTAAACGTGTGATGTCACAATGCTTATCTACCTAAACGGCGCATGCGCAATGGCCCATCAAAAATCCGGATTTTAGTTATACGGTTTATTCGTAGCATGTCTGTCACCAGTCTGTCACCCACGTAAATGAAAAAACAAAATTTCTCAAATCTAGTTTATTCAAAATGGGTCGGGATTTTCTGTGTGCACCGCCTAATGGCGGTTTTCTCAAGTATTTGCTCAATAGGCGGTGTCACACACAGACAAACAATCTGGATTTTATTTATCGGGATCTTGTTAATTGGCTGTTCGTCATCAATTATTAACAAAAGTCCTCTAACAAAGCAAAATAATTCCCCCTTGAAAGTATTTTTTAGGGGATTTTTTAAGGGATTTTTCTGTCTGACACGGATGTTAAAATATTCCCCTTTAACAGTCAGACCGCAGCCGGTGCGAAAACCCTCTATTTTATTCAGCACGTATATGAGTAGTGCAAACAGTCTTTCCGATCGGCAGTTTTTGCCTTTATAATTCTTCATTACTCATGAAATTGGTCTTATTTTACAGATAAGACGTTGCACTTTCTGTATACTTATATAACAATCATGCTAAATATATTTTTGGAACAGATAATTCGCCTAGAAAGTTTTTTTTTTTTTTTAACGATAAATCTATCTTAAGAGTAGGGCTGATTTTCACATATAAATCATTCTTGCGTCACAAATATGTTATAATCAGCATAAAGCATAGATATTTGTCTTTAGAATGATATCAAAATTATTGTATTTTACGCTGTACCAGAGTCAGGAAGCAAGAAAAATCACGCGACTGTTTATGAATAATTAATAGAAGTAGTCAATTTTGCCGATGTGATAATCGAGAGTTCGGATTGGTCAAATACGTCCACTACGTCACATATGTTCCACTTTGGTTCAATAACTTTCTTAATACCGTATAGTAGTAATCTTGCCTTGTGACGTGCGCCTGTAATGCACGTGCGCGCAAGGAGATATGACAACAATTAGGACCCTGGATAAAATACGTCACCTGCCATCTAAATAAATCTTTTCTACAATATTTCTTTTTTAATCATTTTTCTTATTTTTTCGGCCAGTCGGTCGCGCGGCGGAGCTCCCTAGAGTTTAATAATCAGTTATGCATTGCCATTGCTAAGACGGCGAGCGTGCACGAGTATGAAATCACACAATTTCGCGCCATCATAGAAAGAACAAATTTGTAATTTCCGGGGTTTTAGGGTCTTAATTACTTTGATTATAAAGGGAGCATGATTTTGCGTCAATTAGGTTTTGACATTATTTTGATCAGTGACTTTTCACCTTTCCAACGAATCTCAAAGTAAACAAATTAATTATGTACCAGAGTCAGGAACCCAAAGCGAAATTCCGGGTACAAAATAACTTTTGAAATGTTACAAAATAACGACAATAAAAGTAGTGGAAAAGGATAATGATAATAATACATTGGATTTATATAGCGCCATTATCCATTTTAATTAAATGCTCAAGGCGCTTCAAAATATTAGGAACACATTACATCATGACAAAGAATTGTGTACATTTACATAAGAAAGAAAATGCAAAAATGAAAGAATGAATGAATGTCTGTCTTCAAAACGCAAAATTAAACAAATGGGATTTAAGGTTGCTCTTAAAAGATGTTGAAGAGTCGGAGTTCTTCAGCTTCTGTGGAAGTGAATTCCACAGGACTGGTCGGGCATGAGCAAATTCTCGTTCCCCCAAGATTTCTTTGAAGGCGGTATGTGTAGAAGACCAGAGTTGGAAGATCGGAGGGTACGTGTTGGTTGGTAAAGGTGAACTAAAGACTGGTTGTATTCAGGAGCTGTTTTGTTCATGATTTGATGAACTAAAAGAAGGATTTTGAAAATTATACGTTCTTTTACAGGTAACCAATGGAGATTTTGTAAGATAGGAGTAATGTGATTATGTTTGCTCGACAGAGAAATGATGCATGCAGCTGCGTTTTGTAGTTTTTGTAATTGTGTAATTTGTGAATTTGATAAATTATAGAGTAAACTGTTGCCGAAATCCAAACGTGAAGAAATAAGTGAGTGGACAAGTTTCTCTGTTGCCGAAGGAGTCAGATATTTCCATATGAAACCAATATTGCGCAATTGATAGCGAACTGATCTGGAAATGCTTGTGATTTGTTTGGACATAGACATTTGAGAATCAAGAATGACGCCAAGATCGCGACATGAATTTGATAAGGGAATGGTGTTACCGGAAATAGACATTGAGTCTATATTTCATTTATAAAACTGAGATTTTGAGCCGAAAGGAATAAATTCGCATTTACTATGATTTAATAGCAGAGAATGTGACTTCATCCAGGCGTCAATATCAGCGATGCAATTTTCCAAATTATCCCTTCAAAAATCCCTTCAAAAATCCTCTAACAAAGCAAAATAATTCTCCCTTGAAAGGATTTTTGAAGGGATTTTTTTTCGTCTGGCACCAATGTTGAAATAATCCCTTCCCAATAAACAGAACACCAAAAAGTAATCTCTTTGGGAGTGTATTTTAAGTGATTTTAAAGTATAGTGCCTTTTGAACTAGATTTAAACGTTATCGA